GTCTCACAATGTTGTGAGTACCTTTTGTAACTTTCTTTACAAAACACCTTGGACTTAAGAGCCCCCAACATAGCATTGTAGATGTATGGGACAGAAACCCAGTTCGCCAAAAGCTTTCTATCAGAAATGTGAAAGAACTTAAAATATATTATATTACTTTAGATTGTTCTAATATTGTCCAAACATGTACATGAGAAGGTACAGCATGATGCAGGGCACTTTGGAAGCTTTTCTTTATGGCTACCACTGACTAAGGAAATAGAACATTTTGCAACATAAATGCTAGCAGAAATACATAATAGGCCAATTTTAAAAGACAAAACATAATCAAATCTGTAATATTTAATGGCAAATTGTATTTTCAAAAAGATGTATTTTTAAGATGAAATATTTGAAAAGAAAATTTGCAAAAATATAATTTAAGTATCACTTTTCTAATTAAGTCCACATAGTTAAGATTTAAATCAGTCCATGTGGATGTTATTGTTTTATCTCAAGTAGTCAATATACTTTATGAAAAAAAAACTGTTCTTCTTTGCTCCCAGTAACAGTATATCAACCACATACTACAGCAACTAACCTCCACAATTCTATATATGGAAAATCTATCAATTGCGCACACACATGGGCGTGCTGACTCTTAAATGGTTGGCCTCAAATGAACAGTAATATTGGTTGCCCTGGCTTAACAATGGTAATTAGGAATAACCAGTGCAGTAGTAAAGCACAATATCACATGACAGTGCCACTTAGAGACAGAAGTTCTGACAGTCTCCAGTTACCATTGTTAACCAAGGACCATACAGCTCATTAAGTGAGGCCCTCAAATGGCTGCAACTTCCAAACTCCTGCCAGCTTCCTCCAGTAACTTTGCTAATGGGAAGCCAGGAGGAAAGGTGGAAATTGCAATCACATAAAAATGTATGACACTGCAGCTGTTGGAAATCTGGGTCAGTTGCTGAGCGGCTGGATTGTGATCACGATTGTGAGGATGGGGACATTGTAATAGCTAGAATTTCAAGCACCGGTCTTGTTCAGTGCTGTTACAAGTTTCAACAGTCACTAAATGAGTGCTTGTTAAACACAGACTCTGTTGTATAGTTTATATTATTTTAAAACACACACACACACACTCTCCATGGCATGCCCTTAACTCCAGCATTTGCTGTGTTGGAGCAAAATAGGCATGCTCTCACCTCATATGCGTTTTCCAAAGACATAATCCAAAGACAAAAACTCCTTGAGAACACAAGGAGGAAAGGCAGAAGAGGAAACCCTTGGCTTCTTTTATTCTATCTCAAGGGCTGCCTCCCCTTCCCCCCCATTATGCACATGTATGTCTGAGATGCCATTTGTGATTTTTGTCAGTACTAAATGCCCTATTCCACCCATTTGTCATTGCTCTGGATATTTGACTACGTAAGGTTAAATGGATATTGTACTTTTTCTTGTTTTTAATTTTTTTAAAAAATTGGTGCTCTTGCTTTCTTTTAAAAGTAAAGATAACTATATTAAAGTTACTAGGCCGTACAGATGATGCTATAGAGCTTCCTATTCCATTACTACCAGTATTAGTGCTACTATTACTACTATCATTATACCTGGTTTTCAGGAAAGAAACTGCTCAAATTGAGAGATGGCCCCTCTCTCTTGTAAGCTAATACTACTGGAAGAAGAGCCAGCTCACAGCATTCCCTTCTCTTGGGAAGACAACTGGTGGCAGTAGACAAGTATTACATAAGTGGTGCACCAAAAATGTAGACCCTAATATGTTGTCACTCTTAGGCAACTTTTGAGAAAGGAGATTTTTCTATGAGCAGTCATAATCTGTCATGGCAGCATAGAAACCATGTCCTTTTCAAAAGAGGAAGAAAAAATAACTAATAAAAACAAAAATAATGAAGAAAACTAGACTGTAAAAACAGAAGTTCTGTTAAACCTAAATGAACAAAAATGTTTCATGTGGTATAAAAAAGGCCAATTAAATGCCTCCTTAGAGAAAGATTTCTTCTACCTTATGATTCAATAATGAGTATCACTTGATCCATCTACCTTATTTTAATTGATGGGAGTGTCTATACTCCTGATGAAAATTTTACAGAGAAGACAACCACGCATAAGAAATAATGATCTTTAAGGTATCTTGGTTCTATCCCATTAAAAGCACTTTACCTTGGGCCTAGAAGCCCAACTAACAAAGTATTGGTAGCCCAAATTAATAATCTGCCAGTCTTTTTCTAAACCATCTGTAGTTTCAGAACTATTTTAAAAAGCAACAAATTGCAGAAGTTGAAATGAGACGTTACAAAATTGCAGGCAATTGTGGTTTAGCTCTCAGTTTGGAGTTATAGTTGCATATAGCATATCTGCTGACATATCTTAATGACTGTAGTAAAATAATAAGCATTATTGTTAAACATTAACTTCCATTCCCTTGATGATAGCCTACTCCAACAATAGCATAGCAACTGGTTTCTGGTTGATGTTTTACTTTTGTTGTATACCTAAAAGTGCCATTGTAAAGAAGCTATGTCTTAAAGTCAAATACATGGGATTTATATTTGCAAAAAAGTAAGGCTGATACTTATAACCATGCGAAAACTTAATATTACAATTAGCTTTTGAAAAAATAGCCACCATAATGCCTGATCTGTCTTTTAGCATATTATGCATAAAATAAAGTTTTCTTGCAAAGCCTGTTACAATTATTTAATAGTTCAGATCTCTTGAATAAAAAGCACTGCATTAATTGTGGGTTTCGTAATATATTATTCTTTTTAAAAAAAGCTTTTCATAGCTGAGAATATTATTTAAATACAGGTAATCCTCAACATGGCAGAAATCTAGACCAGAATTTCCATCGCTAAATGATGCGGTCATAAAGTGCAACCACATTGCTTAGCAACAGCAATCCCTGAAATCGCGTTTGCTCTACACTAACGTAACCCCACAATTGTTGGCTGAGGCAACTTCCTGCTGGTTTCTCACGACATGTCAGTGGGGAAACCAGCAGGAAATTGCAAGTCTCAGGCCGGCAACCAGGTAAGTGGCAGCTACTGGGTGGGGGACAGAGTGAAGTATCAGGAAAGGTTGTTGGGGGACGATGCTTAAGAGGATGCAAGGAGATTCAGGAGACGCATAGCATGGGCCAGGGAAAGTACATGGGGATGAAAGGGATAACGCAAGAGGTGGAGCATGGGTCAAGAAAGATGGGCGAGCGGCAGGGCATAGATCACAAAGGGTGTGTGAGAGAGTGGCAGGGCATGGGTCATGAAGCATAATGTGAGGCAGAGAAGAAGAGTGTGAGAGAGAATTGGGAAGGGTATGGCACAGATCAGGGAGGTGCAGCAATGATTGGGGAATAGTCCCCTGAGCATAGCATAGAGGGGCTGGGAAAGTTGCTCAGGTGATGGAGACTTACCCCAGCAATTAGCCACCTTCCCTGTTGGCTTCCCCAGTGACTTTCTGAGTTAGTCATCAGAGAAGGTTGTAAATAGCAATGAGGAGGATCCAGGGCATTGCAAACTGTGAAACAGATGCATAGTGCCCAGTCTGTGAGGATGACCATAGGGATGCTGCAAGGGCTGGAATGACCATAATATCATTCGTTCAGCACTGCAGTAACTTCAAATAGTCACTGAACAAATGGCCACAGGTAGAGGACTATAATTATAGTCTAGTTAAACCAGGAGTACATTCCTCTGCATGAGTAATTGGGGTCACACACATAAACACAAAGAATGGTTACCTGCTAGAATCATAATGACTTCCATAAGATTTAACTGTAAAAATGAAAAACGCTTTTTTATAATCAGAAAGAGTATGCATTTAGTCTATATTACATTAGTTACAGCTCAGCACTCCAACACAAACGTTTAAATGTTTATGAGCTACTGTCTATGATCTAGAAATAGCACAATCAGATTCTTGCCATAAGCAGATGGTTAGGGCCAGATCTGTTCTTCCTAAAAGCCTAATGCATGCAAAGGTGATTTCAAAATATTGGCAGATAACAGTATTGGTGCAGTCAGAGTTGCTGCAGGACAGATATGTATTTTCTTGTGGCCTTCACAGTGAAACTCTGGATTGACTTGAACAAAATATTGGGCATGCACATACCTGCCTATCTGGCAGGAAGAATTCTCTCTAGTCCTACATCTAATCTCACAGATTCACATCAAAACAATCTATGGCTCTTTGGGGAGACATTTAGGTTATGTGAACTTGAAGGTAACTTTTCAACAGTGGGTAGAAGAAGGTCATTATAGGAGATGCTAATATATCAGGAATCCTTGTAAGATATCAAGCAACATGAAAACATGTGGATTAAATGTCTTTCAGATTCAGTTCTAGCATCCTCAGTTAAAATAGCATTAACTAACATTGTTCTCATCAGACACTTTCTAATCTCAAGAGGAATAGAATATTGTATTGGGATGAACTGTCTGAAGCTGCACAAATTAACTTTTTAACTTAGTATTAGCCAACCAGGAACATCAGACATGCGCTCTTTATGTAGTAGCACAACCGTGTAGTTATTGAACTGAGAAGTGTAGCAAGATTACACAATGCATAGATAAGCAGATTTCTCATTTACAGTGAAGTTAGTGATTAGTATATATATATATATGGTAGTGGTTAGTATATATATATATATATGGTATTATATATATATATATATGGTATTCAGCTTTGTTTGGGTATTTTCCCATGTCATTATAGTTGTGCTTGTGTTCGTCTGTGTGATGGCAGATGAGATTCTGCTGAAACGTTGCTACAACTTTAAAAGCACAACTATGACGTGGGAAAATATCCGAACAAAGCTGAATACCATAAATGTAAGTACCCGCAAAAACTTAAGAAAAAAAATAATATATATATATATAATAAATAAGCAGACTTCTGCTAAATGATTAGTAAGAGCAATTGCCATCTGCCTCTATTTCCCTGCCTAACTCCAGATTATAAGCATTTGACCATTAGTCTATTAATGTGAAAAATATTTTAATTCAAATCAGTTTTATTTAAACTGTAGCAAATATTACAACATACCAACTTACAGAGATTGAATTGACAGAAATATCATAATATACAAGTTCTACAATCATGTTTTGCTCCCATTCATTATAAATAGCCATAGCATCAACCTTGAAAAAACAGTCCCTTGGCAGTCACACAGAAGATTCCGAAATAAAAATAAACCTCAACTGGAGTAACATTATAAAAGTCTTCAAACCATTTTTATTTGGTGGTATTCTGATTTGATTCCCATGCTTGATAATGTTGGAATTGGCATAAAAATGCTGAGGGCAAAACAGTTGGTAATATTTGGTAATACTTGGTAATATTATTTGGGGGGGACGGACATCCCTGTATCTACAGTCTGTTAGGGCACAGATTGGTTTACAGAAATAATCATATGCAACTGAGTCACAGAAGGTATTCGTCAATCTAAAACACTGTCCTTCATTTTTTGTTGATACCATAAGTATGGGCACAATACAATGTTAACATTTGTCCTGTTCACTCAGTCCCTGTCACTTAATACAGACCCATGGAAATGGAAGGCAGGATTCTAAATTTTAAAATTTCACAAAGATATACGGTATCATATGGTGCTTCTACATGATACAGAGCCTCAAGGCCAATAATTATCCTTTAACGCATTGCTTAAAGTTTTCAAGTTATGGTTGCATGCAGGAATTGCCCTCATTTCAAATATATAGGCCTGGTCTAGCTTGGGATTTTTAATCACAAATTTATTGTTCACGTTCATAGGTAGAAAAATAATGCATACAGGAGAAAAATAAGAACACATTATTTTGTTCTAAGTGGACAGTAGTTTAATATTAAATTGTACATTTCCATTATAAAAAGAAAAATCATTGCCTTGAGTTTTTATTGAAATAGAAAGGTGACCTATAAATATAACAACAAAATATACAAAATGTCTTCAATCACAGCTGTCTTTTTAGGTTTATTTCCTTGATCCCAGTTGTTAGCCTTTCTTTTACCTCCATCAAGGGGGAAAAAGGGGGGGGGTGTTTCAGATTTTCTGCATAATATGTTTTTCAAACTGTTAAGTACCTTTAAAAGATGCAACTATTGTCTCTTGATCTAATGCAAGGATTTTGCCTCTATTAAGAAAAAGGACACACCTTCATGCACATGTCAGGCATTCCTTGCAAGGTAATTTTCCAGCCAATCAAATATGCTTTGATGTTAGTTATAGAATGTCCTGCTAAGAATTAAGAGGCAACTCCATTGAGACCAAAGACCAGGTGGCAGGAAAACAACATGGAATAATGGATAGAGATATACTCACTACTTTTTATTTCTAGGTTTTAGTTCTTCAGCAGCGTTGCGCAGAAAAATATAGTTTTTCTTTTGGGGATTATAGAATTCATGCCCCTGAGGAACAAAAAGGTTGAACACAACATTACATATAAACCTGAATAACAGCATTATAAATTAGGCACACAATATTTGTGATATTCAATTAGATTTTTCTTCACAATTACTGAGCAATCATTAATGCTATAGAAACCTTTAGTAAAGCCCAGTACCAGTTGTTCCTCGACTTAAAACTTTATGTGAAAATCTGAAAAGCAGATATGTAAGAGAAGTTAAATTCAGATGTCAGGTAAAAAGCAAGATCGAAGAGAATAAAACAATTGCTAAGTTACAGAAATTCCAGTCCCAATTGCTGTTGTAATCTGAAGACTACCTGAGGTTCTATCACCAACTGGATGAAAGGGAAAGGAGAAATTATATATATTTGTATATAATAAGAATCTATTCATACTATGGATAATGTACTAATTTTTCCAATAATCCTCTGTTATCCATCATTAGAATATGTAACACAACTGTAACAGATCTATAGGATGTTCGGTATCTTCACCTTCTTACCTGTGCCACTTCAGTTAAAATTTGCTATGAAAACTTAATATTGGTTTTCTACTTGGTACCAAGTCTTGCACCAGTGCAAGATGGAGTTCAGTGGCATCAAAATGTTGAGGTGGAATATAATGCTTAATGCTTATCATTGGCAGACATCTGAAAATTAAGTTTTTCCTTATAAAAATGTGGTTGGTATTCTGGAAGATTTCAGATTTGCTAATGTAGTAGCAAATCACAACATTCTGTCATATTAGCAATTATACAGGTAGCCCTCACTTAACAGCCACTGTTCAATGACAATTCAAAGTTAGGACAGCACTGAGCAATATATATTTATGACTAATTCTTGGAGTTGTAACCACTGCAGTGCCCCAATGGTAATGTGACTGAAATTCGGGTGCTTGGCACTGTCTCCATTTATGATCTCAGGGTATACTTCAACTCTCCTTACCCAACTATCTCTCCACCCCCCACCTCACCTTTCTGCCTGCCTCGCACTCCTCTGCCCCTGCCCCGCCCCGAGCTGGCCATAATTTCTTCTTCCTTTTGCTGATCAGGTATGTGTGGCATGGCCCTTCCTGAGGCAGCTGCTGGCTGTGTGAGACCTTCCCAAGGGTAGGAGTGAAAACGAGTGCAGTAGGATAAGAAAAGCGTGAGATCCTATCCCCGTGATGGCAAACCTATGGCACACGTGCCACAGGTGGCACACAGAGCCATTTGTGCTGGCACACAAGCTGCAGGCAAACTTACCTCACTGCGCAAGCGTGTGCCTAACAGCTGATTTTCGGCCTCCCAGAGGCTTCTGGGAGGCTTCTGCAGGCTTTTCAGGATGAAAACTAGGCCCATTTCATCACTTCCTGTTTTTCCGGAAATACTAGAAATGACTAAACGGGCCGAGTTTTTGGCCTGAGAAGCCTGCAGAAGCCTTCCTGAAGCCTCTGGGAGGCCAAAAAAAGGCCTCAAGCCTGCTGAAAATCAGCTGTGAGGTGCAGTGCAAGTAAGGGGGTGGCGGGTGTGTGTGTGTGGATTGCGTGCGCATGTGTAGGGTTGTGGGGGGCACGCATTGCCTTCTGGATGCTGGCACGTGAGCGCGAGTGTGCAAGCACGCACACAATTTTGGCACAGGAGCCCCCAAAGGTTAGCCACCACTGTCCTATCCTAACAACTAGAACTACCAATACTACTGTCATTAAATGCCATGGTTATATTTCACCCCCATTGCTTAGCAATGGAAATTCCAATTCAATTAGGGTGGTTAAGAGAGGACTACCTGTATTCAAAATCCTTTATATTTTTCAACTACTAAGCACATTATTACAGAGATCTCACTGGAAGTGTGTTCCAATTGTTAGGAACAGCAATGGAGATGTTTACTAGATATTTCAGTGCACTGGAGATGCTCACTTTTTCTAACAACTGCTAGTTGATAGAAATTATCTTAAGCAAACTCTATTACCTTTGACCAGTCATAACTAGAAGCATATGCAAATATGTTGCCATTATGGTTGAAGCAGCAAGCAGATATTGGCTGGTCTAGCTGTTCAGATGTTTTTAGCTTTGTCCGTGCATCTTTATCCCAGAAACTGAATCTGCCATCAGACCCCACAGTTGCAAGAGTGCCATGGACAGGATGGAAAGCAATCCCATTTACCTGTTAAGTAAAAATTAAAATATAATTTGAATGTTCACGTACTCTCAGTAATGAAAATTGAAAACCCACCTTACCAAGCTTATAATTTAAAAAGTATGAGGAAAAAAATGAAACAGGAAAAACAGTAATTATTTCCACAATCTGAAGACTTGTATCCTAAAGTACAGAACAAAAGCTATGTATTTGTGGCACAAAAAAGCTCCAAATAAAAGCTCCATTTTACTCTGCAACAATCAACTCCAGATCCAGTTCTGGCACTTTATTTTAAGAAGGATTCACAATAATTGGAATCAGCTCAGTTAAGCTAAATAAGTATGAACTGGAAACCTAAGAGGGACAGAAGGTTCTGAAAATATTTAACCCTGGCACAAGAAGACTAAGGGGCATATGGCAGCATTCTTCAAATATTTGAAATGATATATCATGAGAAAAAAAATCAAGACCTGTTATCTACCATTTTAGAATTCCACCAAATAATAGATTCAATATACAGGGAAGCAAAGCCCAAGTGAATGTTAGGAAAAAAAACAATCCTTCCTAACAGTAAAATCAGTTTGATAATGGCTGCAATTATTAAATGCAGTGGGCACTCCTTGCTGGTTGCGTTCAAGTGGAATGTAGGCAATTATCTGTCAGAGATACTTTAGGTTAGCTTCCCATACTGACATAACTGGATTCAGAAAACACCAACTGTGAACAATGTGGTTCTTAAACAGCCAGTATCCTTTACATTTGACTTAGTAATCCGAGTTTAGATTCAGCAATATATGATAGACTGCCAACTGCAACCTCTGCTTTAGACAATGAGAGACAGTACTACTTTCCCATATGAGATGATGATTAATGCACTCACTTTCATTACTTTTTTCACCATCAATTTTATTCTCACAAAATAAATGATTGCAATTAATTTATAAGGGAAAGAGTGACTGGAGTCATTGGTCAAATGCAAGCATTTGAAATAGGAAGGACTGTTCTTTTCATTTCCTCAAGTTAAAGCATAATTGCTTTACCGGTAGAATTAAATCAGAACCAAGCCATACTGTAACTTCTCTTTCTTTTGTATTAGCTAAATTCTGAATCCTACTTATCAAATATACTAGAGCTTGTCAGAGTAGGTTTCCACTCAGATGTGTGATATTAAATGAAAATGTACTGAGTTGAAAACACAGCAATTATTTTTGCAATATCTATCTATTTTTTTCCTTTATTTTGTCCTAGAGGAAACTTACTGCATAATCCACACAATACTTACTGCATAGATATCCTGAGGTGCAGATGTGTTTGTACCATTGGATCGATGGCATTTGAACGTAAAGTTGTCTTTGGCGCTGAAAAAAAAAAGCATTCCTTCATTTGAAGCTGCATGCAACACACACAGTTATTCTAAAAGCCTGCATTTCTTGGAATTCAACATTAAACAGCAGATCACTTCCAGATACTTACGGATTTGGTGGGTTAATATAATGAATGGCAACTCTTCCTTCGATACTTCCAAGGGCAAAGCCTGTTGGTTTGTTCACTTTGTCTTTGAAAATAGCCACACAGCGATGCTAAATAAAAGGGACTGTATTTTAATCAGGTACTATCATATATGGCAGTTGCAGCTTTCTGATTATCCCATTAGGAATAAGAAACCAATGCTGGTGTTACAGGTAGTCCTTTACTTACAACAATTTATTTAGTGACCTTTCAAAATTATGTCACTGATAAAGTGACTTATGACTGTCTTTCACACTTACAACTATTGCTACATCCCCAAGGTCACGTGATCAAAATTTATTCACTTGCTAACTGACTCATATTTGATGGTTGCAGTGTCCCAGGGTCATGTGATCACCTTTTGCGACCTTCTGACAAGCAAAGTCAATGGGAAGAAGCCAGGTTTACTTAACAACAAGCTTACTAACTTAACAACCGCAGTGATTCACTTAACTCTGGAAGGACAGGTCGTAAAACGGGACAAAATTCACTTAACAAATGTCTCTCTTAGAAACAGAAATTTTGGGTTCAATCATGGTCATATGTCGAGGACCACCATTACAATTAAAAACAAGCCATACTGCGGAAATCAAGAAAACGTAAGTTACCTGATGTTTAAGTGGAGAGTCTATCCTTCTAAATTCAGAAGGCTGATTCTCTAACTGATAAACTATCAAGCCCCTTTCTGCAGTAGCAACAACAGCCATGGGATATATCTAAAAAAGAGAAATTGTGTGAGAGCAGACCGAGAATTTTCAATTCTGATTTTATATAGTTATGTAGTAAAGAGTGTTTTATTTCACATTTACATCTAAACAGAAAAGTAATACAAAATTCAATCACATGCTTTTTTCCTGCAGTAAACGTACATCTATTTTATTATCATAACACATAATACAAATACCACTAACTACCACGGTATAAAGAAAAGACTCATGTCAAGTGTGGCATGATTCTAACTAATCAAGGCCCAAAGGCTTCTGAAATTCATCTTACCACATCGGCACAATAGCATCGTTCAGGCAGCTGCAGCGTCATCATTGGAGTGGGGGTTCGTGTATCCCAAAACTAAAAAAAAAAAAAAAAAAAGCTCAATAAGGCCTGAATAAATTCTTTTATGTAGTAGCAAAATGATCATTCATCATTTCACTTTGAAATGCCTCCAAACCCTATCCAAATTGATTCAGGAAACATATTTACAATGAATGTGGGAGACTGAAGATGCAAATGAACACATGGTTGAATAAGTCCTGCTTAGACTCAGTTGTCACCTTTCCAACTGAAGGAATAAGGATCAATTCAAAAGACTTGCAAGCATTTTTTTAATATTGGAATCAGATATACTTAGGGTAAGATTCTCTTTGTTGCAACTCTCAATATTGACTTCTCTACCATCTGAAGTACTTCAAGTATGGCCCAGTTTCTGAAAATGTACTTTTTATTGATATAAATAATTCTGGAGCATTCATCTGTATTTTTATGATATTTAAAAAAACTGTATTTATGTCAGGATACAAAATAAACTAGAACTATTCTCTTGGAAGCTCATCACTATTGTGTTCATCTATTTTGTTCACATTTTCTTTTCTGTTTGTTGCTTGTAGTTTAATTTTTAATCTGCTGCATTTTTAAAAAACATTGCTAAAAATAGTGTTACAAATGTAATACATAAAAACAGTTGTTCCTAATTGTAAAAGTTTGAAGCATTTTAAACCTTTATAATACCTAGAAATGTATTGGCACTAACTGGGAAAGAATATGTTAAATGGACACTATGGAATAGAGACTTCCCTCAAAAAACTGATACTTGAATCAATCATTAGATTTTACTCTCAAGTTCATTCACTTGGAAATAAGGCCCACATTTACAGGAATGCATTGCACCTTACTCTACCATGTATTAGCAATAATTTTTCCACAATAATTATTACACAGAACAACAGAAAACCTTTTTACACATTAAAAAAAACTTACAAGGCTTACCTTTAATGTTTTATCCCAACTTCCAGTCATCACACAACTATAATTTGGTGCTTTAATCCAATGGACTGTCTTTACAGGAGCTTCATGCTGAAGAATGTTTAAAAGAATTATTTAAACACTTTCCATTCATGCAATTATAGATTTCACTTTTCTGTAAAAAAAAACAACCATTGGCCTAGCCTTGCTTTTACAATGCCTTTGGTAAGGCTCTTATTTCTTTCCTCTGCTCTTCCATTTAATATATAGACTGTTTACATTTCTGGTCCCATTAAAAACACATCAAACCCACAGAATTCAAACCCACAGAATTCACTCTATTAGCACTAAGATTATTATATTTCAGTCGGTTCATAGTTTTCAAATTATCTGGAAACCACCTCATAGAGAACAAATCATTTGAAAAGTGTATATTACATTCCAGTGAATAATAATCAATCTTTTATCCCACTTAAGGAAAAAAAATGCTTAGGGACAAGACTGTGTGATCAAAGCATTGTGTATAATTTCTTCCCATGCAGCTCCATCATTTAAAATGTTTGTTTTTGAGTATACCCTAAAATATTGACAAAGGTTTGTATCCTTTCTTAGAAATTAGAATTAAGTGAGGCCAATTCATTAGTATCTATCTGTGGTCCCCAACCTTTCTGACTCCAGACCGGCAGCGACGAGGGGATGGTTTCGCGCATGCAATTTAATCCTGCACATGTGAAAAGGGAACTTTGTGTGCTTGCTCACTTGCGCAGCCTAGTTCCCAACAGGCCGTGGACTGGTTCTGATCCACAGAGCATGAATTGAGGACCCCTGGTATACATAACCAATTATTTTGAGTATTATGCACTCAATGCTTTTAAGTACTGTTTCTAACAAGCTTTCCCCCCATTTTGTGGGAGAAACATTCATCAAAATTTGTGTTAAATTTGTTACAAAGACAAAAATGTACATTTGAAAATTGTACCTGTGCGATTTGTATTGCTTGATTACTGTTAAGATCCCACATTTTGGCTGTTTTGTCACAGGACCCTGTGAATACTTTACTTCCATCCTATTAAATAATAGAGAACAAAAAAACCTCATATGTATTCCATAGTGCTTAGTGAGGGTGGAGACATTTTAAAAAAGAAATACAGGTAGTACTCAATTACAAGTTCATTTGGTGACTGTTCAAAGTTACAACAGCACTGAAAAATGACTTATGACCATATTTCACAGTTATGACCTCTGCAACATTCCCAGAATCATGTGATCAAAATTCTAAGAACTATGTTACTAATTTATTAACTGCAGTGATTCACTTAACTGTGGAAAAAAAGGCCGTAAAATGGGAAAACTCATGTAACAAACGATACACTTAACAACAAAAATTTTGGGCTCAATTGTGGTCTGAAGTTGAGGACTACGTGTAGCATGATTGTTAGTAGTTAAAACTCTAAAATGGGGTTGCTTTTCTTATTCCAGGATAATTTCCTCCACAAAAGAAATTGCTTTCAGACAGTGGTTTTGATCTCACATTCCTCCTCATCTGAAAACCACTATAAACCTTTAAGTACATCTCTTCTGAAAGAATGGAACTTACATCACTCCAGCAAACATCTAGTACTGGTCCTGTATGCATCTGTTGGGCTTTTGGAATAGTTTGTCCGTTATCTTGGATTTCCCAACAACGAACCTGAAATAAATGGAAACATTTGTAAATATGAATAGCACCTGGAATGTAAGTATTTTACCCTTTTTGACAATGAAGTGCATTTAGCTTTATAAAAATGCAACAAGATATTAAGATTAGACTATCCATCGAGAAGCTCAATTCAAGGCCCCTGAGATCAATTTATACAGCAACTGGGCTATACTTCTTAATAGTTTTCCATTCCATGAGAGAATGTTTCATAAATAGAAACTTGAAAAAAGGTGTTTTTTTTGATGAAACAGATACTAGCTCATAAAGTCCAAGCAGTAATAATACATTGCCCCAGATTTTAATATTATAAAAGAACTTTCTACTTTAATGCATCTTTAGAAAAAAATAAAATAGAAATTTGACTAAATGAAATCAATTAATAGCCCAGTCCTGAAATTTTTACCTAACTCATTTCCACTTCAATACTTTGAGAGGTTTTGTTTTGATACCTTTAAAACAAATTATTAAATTGCAGCACTTCTTCATTGTTAATACTTTTTACAAACTCACTGTGTCTCATAGAGATAGCATACAGTTACCTCAACCATTGCCCACTTACGGATATCACATTTTGTCTGCAGTCATTTTCCATGCAGTAAATGCAGGGAAAGGTGAACGCATGATATGCCTCTATCTATTTTCATTTGTTACTTACATCATTTGCCCATGATCCTGCAATAAGGAAATTACCCGGCAATGTTGGTGGGCTGAAAGCCAAACAACCTATGCTGTCATCAGGTGGGGAAGTAACTTCAATATCCTGCGGAAAAAGTCAAAGTTAAAACTTCTTGTAAACACATACCATACACTTTTTAAAAATCCAATTAGTTCCAAATTGAGAGTCACATCTACCCTTCTACAATGGGGAAAAAAACCTTAGAAAAATAAAATTACAGTTTGCTCCAGTAAATATCTGCATTTAAATCTCATCACTGTGTCAAAAATGATATGCTACAGAGAATATACTCACAACCTAAAATTGGTATATTTTGTAAGCAAAAAATTAGTATCTATTAAAGATAACACTTTATAACGTCAATATAGCACTCTTTCTCCTTTCCTTTCTTCAGTCAAAGAACCTATTAAATCATATATTGCATACTTCAAAAGTGAAGTGGAAATATGAAAGGTCAGGTTCTTAAAAAAAAAAATAGCGGAGGCTTGTATCCTTGTGTGTGGTCCAAAGCACTTTTTTTCTGAATATTCTTAAGAGTCTACAACTGTAGTAACTATTTGAATGACAGTTCTAACAGCTACTTTATAGCATTCTCAAAATTTCACAGCAAATAATGCATAAACCTAAACCATTTTAATTCAGCCAAAGAAATTATATACATACACCAGTAGACAAACATGCCATCTTTTGAACTTAATTTTCAAAATATTTATGTGAAGTGATTTAGTTTTTCTCATAGCATCCAGTGGCTTAATACCTTCATTGGGTTGTGATTATCTGTAGCAGTGCTGCCAAACATACTGGTGCCTCCAGTTCCAAATCCTGATGTTGACCCAAACAAACTCATCTTGGTCCTGTTATAAGAATGCAAATGAATTTTTGGAAGTTATTTATTACAGGGTGCTCAAAATCAATATAACATATTAAATAACTCTTATTTATAATATAGGCTTTTATAATTGAAAACAGTTTACACAGAAATCAATGTAAATACACAATCATCACATGCCTTTTTTTCCTCCGCAGTTACTCTCTAGACAGGTGATATCTGCCCTAGGCTTAAGGCGTTTCCAAAACATTATTTCCATTTTATTTGGAAAATCTGTAGTCTGAAACCTTATCAAGCTTTAATGTCAAAGTTGCTCATTACGAGACTTACATGGGCTTAAGTACTCCAGTATCTTCTACAACATATTTTAAACTTGGGTTTATACTGTCAATTGAAGTGTATTTAATCTGTATATACCGGCCACATTACTTTTATTTTTAATATGGAGAAGAACTTTCTTCACACATTTTAGTGTTTCTTAAAGTACACTACATTACATTCTAGGACAGCCACTTCACTAACATATCTTTGAGCAGAATCATAAGGGTATTTGTTAGATGTGAATTAGAGCGAGCTATTTTGGTTCAGGGATTTGGGTGCTGGCCTACAAACCAGGAGACTGTGAGTTTGAACAGATCCCACTCCCTCCACTCTGCCTCTGCCCTCCCCACTTGTCATTAGATTTTAATGTTTGGTTTTAATTTATTTATGTTTTAATGTATATGTATAAATACATTTTTAATGATTGTGAGCTGCCCAGTAACCCTGTGGTAAGATAGGTGGCCAGTAAAATAGGAAGGAAGGAAGGAAGGCTGTCCCAAAGGTGCTTTTTGGGGGGGCAACTGGACTTTATTTTTTCTTTTTGAAGATGTTTCGCTTCTCATCCAAGAAACTTCTTCAGCTCTGGCAGGATAGTGGGGAATGGAAGGATTACTATCCTGTCAGAGATGAAGAAGTTTCTTGGATGAAAAGCAAAATGTCTTTGAAAGAAAAAACAAAAAAGTCCAGTTGCCTCCTGAAAAAGCAACTTTGGGACAACCATGACCTGGATAACTGAGAATCTCTACAGACTATTTTAGGCATGAAAGATTGGGTGACTTCTGGTCACTCTCTACCAAACCCATCTCATGAGGTTGTTGTTGTGGGGAAGTAACGACAAGTATTTATATATTTCTTGTCTTGAGATAGATCCATCCATTAAATAAAAAAAAAAACTTGGCAAACTCGACTCCCAGAATTTCCCAGTCAGCACTCAGGCTGAAGAAGTATCTTAAAGTTGCCAAATTTGGGGGGGGGGGGGGAGAGAGAGAAGGGGAGAAATGGTATAGATTTAGGTTCAATGGGGTCGTCCTTCAGAACCGATGTGGATGTTGCCATAAGATCATTCCGGTATGGACTCAGTAGTACTCTTGACAGCCGGATTTTGGGTTTCCATGGGAACCAAAATGTCCCGCTGGGTGGCCAATTTTAGTTCAGAAAATCTCCCTTCAGCCTCAGCGAGTCTCCCCAAACCCAGCCCGTTGCCTGACTGATGGGACAACGAGGACTCAGATCGTATTTGTCTTCTCTTCTCGCCACGAATGGGGGCTGCAGATCCAACAACCTCAGGTGAGCTGGCTGGGAATTATGGGGAAAGCGGTCCAACGCACCGCGGACGGGATGCCGGTTAAGGGAACAGCACGACCGACTAGGAAGCGGTAGAAGGCAGGCAAATGCTCTCCTCCCGATAAGAGTTGGGGAAGTAAGAGGAGCTATTTAGCTCATTCTATCTAACGGTAGTTTTGTCGGCGCCCCATCCGCCCCAAAAGGACAGGGACCCGGAGAGCGAAGCAGAAGGATGGAGCCCCGGCCGACCTTAAGCCGCCTCGGCTATCTTGGAGGCCCTTTTCCGGAGAGGAGCCTTATCCGAAGAGGCACACACGCGACTTGGTCCGGCCGAGAGGAGAGAAAAAAATATTACACCCACCTATCAATCCTTCTCCCTCAAACTAGCACGCCGGTCAGGACGGCTGGGATTGTCCGCGAAGCCTAGGCCCTTCTTTACTGCGCATGCGCTAAGCCACAGTCCGCTCTCATTCGTCAACAGCAACTGGTGTTAATGGTGGGGCGTGACGTGTCGACATTGGTCCATTTCGCCGGATGGACGGCGTTCTTGCAGAACGTGATGTAAAAGTAGCCGCCCAGACTTGGGGAGGTCTCAGGGTGTTCTAGATGCTTATTAATCTCTCAGCCTCTTGACCTGATGTACTTAGACTTATATATCGCTTCACAGTGCTTTACTGCCCTCTTTAAGCGGTTTATATGTCATTTTATTGCCCCCCAACAATCTGGGTCCTCATTTTACCCACCTCGGAAGGATGGAAGGCTGAGTCAACTTTGGGCTGGTGAGACTCGAACTGCTGGCATCCAGCAGAAGTAACCCTGCAGTATTGCACTCTAATCATTGCACCACCACGGCTGTGCTGTGGATTTTACCAAGGGAAGACAGATGGAATGCTAATGATTCCACATAAATCCCAAAGGTGTTTTTCTTTGAAGACGTTTTGCTTCTCATCCAAGAAGCTTCTTCAGCTCTGACTTGGATGGTGGGGAATGGGAGAGGATTTATACTCCTTGTAGGCAGCTGATCATTTGCATTCTTCTTAGAGAATAATTGAGGTCACTAGGAGGTTTCTTCAGTCAGAGCAGAAGCTTCTTGGATGAGAAGCAAAATGTCTTCAAAGAAAAAAACAGAAAGCCCAGCTGCCTCTTGAAAAACACCTTTCAGACAACCATGACCTGGATGAATGAGAATCTCCATAGAGGATTGCATCTGATGTGTGTTAATGGATCTTTTACCCGTGTTTTTCTCTGATAGAAAATTGTTTATGAGTTGCATTAGTGAGTATTGAGGACAGAATATATACTGAATGCTGTTTCTTACTTGGAACCAATATTTTTGGTGTGATGGTTTTCTTCAGTATTGTCAAAAGACATATTACTCACCTACAGGTAGTCCTCGACTTACAACAGTTCATTTAGTGACCTTTCAAAGTTACATAGGCATTGAAAAAAGTGACCTATGACCATTTTTCACACTTAACAACCTCTGTAGCATCCCCACGATGTGATCAAAATTCAGATGCTTAGCAACTGTCTCATGCTTATGACCGTTGGTGTTTCCCAAGATCATGTGATCACCTTTTGCAACCTTTTGACAAGCAAAATAAACAGGGAAGCGAAATTCACTTAACCGTGTTACCAAGTTATCAGTTGCAGTGATTCACTTAACAACTGTGGCAAGAAAAGTGGTAAAATTGGGTAAATTCATTTCACAAACATCTCACATAACAGAAATTTTGGGTGTGTCTATATGTAACTGTTTCTTGCCTTTTAGAAGAAGACTGTATTCAAAACATTTAAATTAAGACCATGTGCAAATTTACACACTTTACAAAAAAGGGGAAATCCTTAACAATTTTTCATTCATGTTTGATTTCATTAAGATGTAAACTATTTTAAAAAACCTGATTCTTTGGCTTATTTAAAATGTGTAAATAATGATAACAAAGATTTTCTTACTCGTTTTATTATAACTTTATATCATATTTTTAAACTTAGCACATCATGAAGTTCTTTTAATTAACTAGTAAATTGATAAAGCATTTGTGAGACAATATTGACATCCTTTTGTCATCTATATATTTTCTTTAAAACAAGCAGTTATAAAATATGAAAATTAATGTTAGATCAGAAATCTTTCTTCCTATCAAAAACAAAAAAAGAGAAATACTAATTCACATAGAAAGTATTTTACATAACTGAAAATTTTGTATGAACTGCCTTAACACCTCTGAAATAAATTGGAGTCCACTAGGAATATCTATACCTTCTCTTTTGTTCTCTTATATTTCTCTTATATCTTTTTATTTTTTTCTTTTATATTTCTTCAAAATAGTCATTAAAAATCTTTAAAATGTATCTTGATATTCATATCCATCCACCGAATTGCAACTTGTTTGGCAAATATATCCTGGAAAGATAATCTGTTGAAAATGAAGTCAGAGCCTGAATTTCAGCCTTCATTTTAGATGTTTCCATAATATCTAACTGTAAAAGAAAAGCATTGGAAATTAGCAATTCAATCAACATTGATATAGATTCATAATTCAAAAGACAAGCATTTTATGCCATGTGTTCCACATTACAAATATAAAATGTAAAAATACAAAATCAAAATACATAAATACAGACAAACGGAGGTTATTTGTAGCAAAAAGGTAATTTTGCTACAATATTGTGCCTCATTTACATCTTTTAAATTCAGTGCATTGTCAGGACAAGCCAAGCCTATACATCTCAGACATTTCCTTTAGCACGTAGGCAGCTACGAAATGCCAATGTTCTTTGCCTTTTTAGGTAGGCATTTAAGCCTCAACTGTGACAAGACAACTTTCTGATGTTCTCTTCTAGATTAGAATCTGTAAAGTCCTCCAGTTCAAAGCTGTTTAGGCCAAGGTGCTCCCCCGCCTCTCTATATATACATATATATATATACATACATACATACATACATACATACATATATATATATATATGGTATTCAGCTTTGTTCGGGTATTTTCCCACGTCATTATAGTTGTGCTTTTAAAGTTGTAGCAACGTTTCAGCAGAATCTTATGTGCCATCATCAGGCTTCTGTATTGTGTTCGTCTGTGAGTCAGACTTTTACAGTTGTTTCGGTTTTAAATTTGGGGCTAGCCTACTGCTGTGCCAGAATGGTTTTTTCTTCATCCTGATTGGTTGGGAGTCTTGCTCTGTGTTTATTGGTCTTGGAGTTTGCTGTGTTCTGCTTGATTGGTGTTTCTAATATCTTCTGTCTGTTTTGTGGCTTTTTTTGTGTCTTGATTGGCTGGCAACATTGTGTTCCTGTATTGGAGGCTTTTAGTGCAGCTTGGCTCTGAGTAAATGGATGGCTATCATTTGTTAGGAAGCTAGGTTTCATCTGGGTGCCTGGTTGGGGTGTGTTTGAGCTGGAGGTATCAGGGGGGATCTGTTTGTGCCCAGGTTTTTGCCTGGCTTGTGGTGTGGAGATTTTTTTGTTTGTGAGTGCAGGCTTCCAAATAATTGACAGTCTGATGGAATCATCTCTTCTGTTCATGCTTTCAGGTCTTTTTTCAATCTCTATGGCTTCTCTGATAATTCTGTGGCTGGGGTTTTCTATAGTGGCTACTTTTGGTGCCATTGAAGTTGATGCTGTGACCTGTTGTTTTCATGTGTTGGACTAGTGAGGAAGTGTGTTCCAGCTTTTTTACTGCATTTTTGTGTTCATCCAGGCGGGTGCTTATTCTTCTATTGGTCTGTCCAATGTATGTGGCAGGGCATGATGCACAAGAGACTTCATATATGCCTTGTTTTTCCAGGTCAATTTTATCTTTGGGTTTTCTTAGGATGGCTGCTATTTTTCTGTCTGTTTTGAAGGCAGTCTTGATGTGATGCCTGTGTAGTATCTTACTGATTTTTTTCTGTAGTACCGCTTATGTAGGGCAGGACAGCTGTTCCATATGTCTGTTCATCTTCTAGGTCTCCATTATGTCTCATGTTCATCTTCTAGGTCTCCATTATGTGTTTTTGTGGATCAAGCTGGTGCTTTTGCTTTTGTGGAAGCCGTTAGCTGTCAGTACTTTAGTCAGGGTGCATAGTTCAGTCTTTATGTGTGTCTTGTCTGCCAGACTCTTGATTGGTTGATGGAGTTGATGTTGGTATAATGGGCTGTGTGGTGGCCTTGTGAGTTTTCTTGTGGAGATATCCTGGATCTTGTGCTGTAATCTCCTGGGTCCTGTAATCACTACAAAACAAATGACCCAGGAGATTACAGCACAGTCAAGTAGCCAATAGATGATGGGCAAATTATTATATAATTACTTCATCTCTGTCAAATGCAACGTATCTTCTAAGCTTTTGCCAGGAAATGTTGAAAAAAACACTCATTAAAATTTGGCTAAGAGCAACCAGTCCGTTAACATCAGCTATGGGCTGAAGATGTGAAGAAGGCTCATGTGGAGTTATTTAATTAGTCATTCTCAAGTTAAAGAGGGGACTTGTAGTTATCTCATATATTAGAACTCTACCAACAGAATATAAATGAATCTTCCCAAACTGCTTATAATACAAAATACAGAATTTATTATGATCTATACGTACTTCTTTTTTCCAAGCTGACTCATGAGCAATATATGGTCTTGCCTGTAAAGCAGTTAGCTTACTCTGATCTTCTTTAGTTAGTGGAATTAGTGCACTCATAGGAACATTCAATCTAAAAAAACATTGATTAGTCTGTGCTTATTTTTACAATTAAAGATTTTTTTTTCATAAATAATAGTATGAAACTGAAGTAAAGGTCCAGTAATATTAATGCCATCAAATATTAATGTTCAACTAAAGGCTTTGCACATTTTAAGGACCATGAAGTGGCTCATCATATAATTGGAACACTAACATACTTAATATGTTTCCTTGCCACATGTCATTAAGTGCTTGCCTGTTTTGTCATTTTGCTACAGGGAAAGGAATGACGGAGGATGATAGTTTAGGATGCTTCATATCTGCTCTAAGACTCTTAGAAACTGGTGCTGTCTTTTGCTACACATTTTTTCTCTCATCCAGGCATTGAGATAGAGCTACTAGTGCTACTGAAAACCTAGATGTGATAAAATTGTATATAATACTGTTATATAGAGGGAGTATGTTTAAAATTTAAATCAAAGTGGGCAGAGAAAGTCCTCCCATCATATCTCCAATAGAGATTTAGCATGCAGCAATGCACATTCTATGAAATTAAGATACAGCATATCTATATTCTTACATGAACATAGTGCCCAAATAGCAAATTTTTGTTTTTTCTAAATTGTATGATTATTCTTTAAATAATTCATTTTTACAGTCTGAAATATAGATACTAATTGAAAGCCTGCTATTTGAGCTAAATATTCAAGGTTTGGGCAAAAATAGATTTGGAAATGAGTTGATAGCACTATTCCAATATTTGAGGGGTTCTTACAAAAATGAGAGGGTCAACCTATTTTCCAAAGCACCAGAAGGCAAGACA